CTGGGCGCATGTGCGAAAACGTCATAAAGGTCACCATTTTCGCATTGGTTGACGAATCGTCTGAGTTCGCCACACCCCCTTGTGTGACCCATTGGGTCGCTCGGTCTCCCTAGTGTGACCTGTGAAGATTGTGACCTTTGTGACGTCAGCACCCTTGTGTGCTAATGTCGGTTGGAAACGCTTTATTTTTTTTCATTGATTGTGTTATCAAAGTGCATGTGTGCACATGCGCATTAGTGATTTTGTTGGAGGCTTGGCCGTGCGCATTATGTAGGTCGGCAAACGTAACGGGTCGGCAAATATGACAGAACACAGGCACCCCAGGTTTGCGGGATTTTTGCCCCAGTTTGGGGATGGAAAGAGTCAGTGAATGGCAGATGTCAGTTATTTTGGACTGGCAGGTCAGTAGATCAGAGGCCGAGATGGGACACGACCCATTCACCATTGAGGGTACAATTTTGAAAGGGGCAGATAGACCCCTTACTAGTACAGTCAGGGAATGAGCTAGCCAATAGGATTTGAGTGGATGAATAAATGAGATCCAATGAAAGTCCCGCTTCAAAGGTCATTGCCATCAGTCCATGTCACCCAAAATGTCAGAGGATATAAATCGTAGTCCTGTAGGGGTGAATTATAGACTGACCACCAAGTAAGAGGGTATTCTAGGTCCATTGCCACTGATTTGGAGGGGACTGGGCAACTGGAGGGGACCGGAGGCCAGTCTCCTCCCCATCAACCCTAGGCCTTAGAAAGGGGTTCTGTTTTTGGGAGGTAGGTACAGGGGGGTCGTTGGGACTACTTCTTCCCCCTGTTGTGGGGTGCCATGTTCCCCCAATTGCTAGAGACTCTGTGGACCATATTAGGAGCCAGTATCCATGTTTCACAAACCCTATGAACTAAACTGACCTGTGACCATATGGAATGCAGCAGCACACAAGGGGTTACCTCTGGACCTGGACTCCCATTTATATCGTTAAAGTCTGTTTGTCCATTTGTTTGGATTGTGTCAATGGGTTTTGGTACTCCTAGAATGAGATCCTAATAGGTTGGACTTGATGGACTAATGTCTTTATTCAACCTCAAATACTATGTAACTATGTAACTATGCAGGGACAGCATGGAGTTACTGTATAATGAATTGTGATTTTTACCTGTTTTTAGGAGTCTCCGGGTGTTTGTCATTTTTGTATTTTTCTTTTTTGGGACTTTGCCAGAATTAAACAAGGCACAGAATGATTATAAACAGTATTCCGGAAGGAGCTCTGCTGGAAATTCTGTCCTTTGTCCCGGCCTACGATCTCCTGCGCTGTCGGCTGGCCTGCACTCTGTGGAGGGATACTATTGACTCACCGGCCTTGTGGAAGAGGAAGTCTCGGAAGAATGGACTTGTCTCCAAGCAGTGCCAAAGAATCCCACCTGACTGGAAGATGTTCTACTTCCTCCACAAGAAAAAGAGGAATTTACTGAAAAACCCCTGCGCTGCAGGTAAGAGTGCTTCACCCGCAATCTTCTACTGCCTCGTTCAGTTTTCCTGGGTGTTGAACCCTAATCCTCCTGGGGGGTGCGTCCTCGGCTGAACCCTAATCCTCCTGGGTGCGTCCTCGGCTGAACCCTAATCCTCCTGGGTGCGTCCTCGGCTGAACCCTAATCCTCCTGGGTGCGTCCTCGGCTGAACCCTAATCCTCTCGTGTGGTCATCAGCTGGTTCATAATCCTCCTGGGTGGGTCTACAGTTGGTGCCGAATTCTTCTGGGTAAACCCTCAGTTGGTCCCTAATCTTTATATGCGAGCCCTCATTAGCTTTGTAAATGGTCAACTTGAATGTATTTGGCTTCAAGAAGTCCATAAAGGTTCCCATTTATGCAGGTCATGGTATGACTAGTAGTAGTGGGTCACAATTCCATGTTCCAGTGGGTGGTAGGAGTCAAAAAGCAGATACTGGTCTGTGTGGGTTGGTTTCCTATAGACGTTAATGGCCAAGTGAAGCCCCTCCTTGACACACACAGTCCAGATGGTTTTGTCCACTGTGTTCACAAAAAGCTTGCATTTTTGGATGCTCTAATCTTGACGAATGTATCATCTACCACCTCAACCAATGAGGTTACTCCTCTGAAAGAGCCCAAGGCTTTCTTCTCCACCACCCCCTCCATGTACACGTTGGCTATAATGGGAGACACAGGTGATACCACAGCACAGCCATGTTTCTGCTTATAGAGTACTTGTACTTGAAATGGGTGGTGTTGAGACAAATGTCCAGTAAGGAACGTGCTGGGGATTCGTCGCTGATGGGGCCCTAGCTTGTCTCAAAGCCGCTGGAGCGGCAGTTCTAGGGCCCTGCGCTGCTAGGGCCAGGACTCCGCCTCCTTGCCCTTCACCGTCGGCCGATAGTTATGTAAGGGACCCGGGCGGGCCCCCCAGGCTGCCCGGGCCCCTTACATGAGCATCGGCTGTACCCCCATGATGGCTGCCCTGCTGGACATATAAATGCTGGTTGATGTTCTTACACAGATTAGCAGTAGCTTGGAAAACGTTACAGAAAAAAGGTAAAATTAAATATGACTAACTACTACCAGAACTTGAAGAAAGCATGTTTGTATGTTTCCCAGAGGGTATCCAGCACTGGAACATAGAGGAGAATGATGGGGATGAGTGGAAAGTGGAGCAGCTCCCGGGAGCCCATGGACAGCCATTTCCAGATGAAAAAGTTAAAGATTACTTTGTCACCTCTTATGGGTACGTAACACATTTTTATTTCTTTAAAGGGACACTGTAGTGTATTAATAAATACAGGGAGTCCCCGAGTTACGAACATCCAAGTTACGCACGACTCCTACTTCTGAACGCAGGTCCAAGGCTCTTCCAGTAGTTGTAATGCTGCCGTGCTCGCGCAGACGTTCGTAGTTCTGTACCTCCTGTACATTACAGGAAGTTGTTAGACGTGCAGACGAGGAGTGCCCGCCTCTACTTCCGGGTCTGGAACTGTACATTACAGGAAGTTGTTAGACGTGCAGACGAGGAGTGCCCGCCTCTTCCGGGTCTGGAACTGTACATTACAGGAAGTTGTTAGACGTGCAGACGAGGAGTTGCCCGCCACTTCCGGGTCTGGAACTGTATATTACAGGAAGTTGTTAGACAGGCAGACGAGGAGTGCCCGCCTCTTCCGGGTCTGGAACTGTACATTACCGGAAATTGTACAAACATCTGTCCAAGTTGCATTTAAAGTAGAACTCTATGCAAATTAAATTTTTTCAGTTTTGGGTAGCATGGTGTAGGACTAGAGCCACTGTGAGGACAGCAAAACAGGGTTAACCCTTCACTATGCTATCTACAACTAAAAAAATGTTTTGGGGGCTGGAGTTACACCTAAAAAAATTCCCTGTTCCAACTTGCGTACAAACTCAACTTAAGAACAAACCTACAGTCCCTATCTTGTTCGTAACCCGGGGACTGCTTGTACATCTAGAAAAATGTGTCAGTTGTGAAGGTTGCGATTAGCGCTGTATGTAAAGTTTTATACTATTCTCATGGATGCATTCTAATGCATCCATGAGAATCGAGCATGAGCTCTGCTTCTTCCAAATTGTTCACCCCTCTTCCAACATTTTTGGGTGTTTTAGCTCTCGAGGAAGGGTCAAACCCCCAAAAGTGTTGTCTATATAATGTATATAAATATACAAACTGTAAGATTTGTGAATGAACTGAAGTTTATGAGCCCTTTCCATACGGCGCTACTCACCCGCCTTTACTACCATCGCACCTAGAGAGCAGTAACCACTCTCGTGTCCTTCCAAGAACTTGGTAGCTATTGAGGAGTCTCTCCTAGAAGGTCCAGCTCTACCTCACGCATCTGTAGGCGGGGTTCTGTGGGGGTGTTGCGTGTGTTCCTTTTGGGGCTACTTGGAGTAACCCCGTGTATGCCACGACACCAGGCACCCCTTCTGTTAGGGGCCTCGGCTCTGGCCTCGTGTTAACCACTCCAACACTTGTAGCACTGCGCACCCAGGGCCCTCATGATATCCACCGCCTATGCGGACTTCAGCGCTTCCTCCCCCTTAGGGAGAAAGGCCACCATGAAGGGCACCCTATGTCGGGCATAGCCGTATTCACGCATACCCTAATCGAAGTGGTTATAGCCACGGTGCAGTCCATCATCAACACAATCCTTGCAGAACCCCTGCTTCTCAGAGGTTGGAGGAAGAAGAGCCAGTCCACAAGGATAGTCTTTTCTTAGCTTTACTTGGCGTTGTTCGTTATAACAACTGAAAAGTACTGTGCCGTCATCCCATCCCCAGGTGGGATGACAGCACAGTATTTTTCAGTTGGTTATTGCAGATATTAGAGAGAGAGAGGTTAAGTCCAGGTGCAGCCCAGAGTCCACGACTTATGTTGGCCATAGGCCAATAGACAAACATTGTCAGCATACCGCATTCCAGTATCCTCCGGAATCCCATCCTAGACAGTCCTATCTCGGTGGTTTCCCCCTCCAGGGGAAACTGGGGAATCTCTGCAGTTCTACATATTCCTAGGTCTGGTCCTGCCCTTCCCATGGACCAGCCTCTAAATCAGAATCAGTCTCTCTCCAAAGACTCGGCATCAGGATCTCGTCTCCTGTACTCCCTTTCTCTCCTTCCACACTCTTCTCTCTCGCACCCCTCTATGTCACTCTATATCAGAGGTGCCCACAAGGTCGATCGCGATCTACCAGTCGATCGCGTAACGATCACTGGTAGATCGCCATGTCCTCTCCTCCCGCCGCTTCTCTGGATCCCCGCTGCTCTCCCCAGCGGGAATCCGAGAAGAAGTGAAGGAACCGGCGGCGGGGGAGGACGGAGCCGCTGTCACAGAACTAATGCAGAGCGGTGAGGAGAGAGAGACGCTCGGCCAGGATCTGACAGCTGGCGCCTCTCTCTCCCCTCACTGCTCGTCCGTTCTCTCACAGCGGCTCCGACATCACCACTGCACCACAGGGTCTTCCTAGGCCAGAGCTACTTCTACCTACAGGGTCCTATGGGGACATCTAGCGGCCATTGGCCGTATTGTACACTATCCTACACATCCACATCGCCAACCTGAATTTTTTTGTTTTGTTTTTTGTTTCTTTTAGCTTGTGCTTAAAAAGCCAGCTGATTGACCTTTACGAGGAGGGATATCCTGAGCAATGGATGGACGTCATGCAGCCGGATATAGTCATCGGGGACTGGTGAGAATTCCTGAGCCTGGTGGGAAATGTTAATACTGTCAGCTGACAGAGGAACCAAAACCTGGCCTTGTGGCTTCATGAGAGGCCATGGGTTTGACCATCACTCAATCGTCATCATTTACACAAACAGAGAGCGTTCCGCTAATGCAGATTATGTATTTGTTTCCCTTTTTTTGAATATTCTGATCAGAAATTCCGATTCTAATCAGGGTGGGTTCTCGATTGCGGTATGCAGGGCAGGATTTCCCGCAAGGCCAACCAAGGCCTGGCCTCGGGGCAGCAGGGGTGTGAAATTCCTATCTCGCGATGCCTGGGCGGGTGGTAGTTTTCTACATTTAGCCCTGCTTTGGGCAAGCAGAGCTAAATGTACAGCGGGGAAGCCGTCGCTTGTTTTGTACGAGTGATTGCGGTGACATTGTATGCAGCCTGCCATTCTCCATGGTGGGGGGTTTGGCGGGGAGGGGGGGGGGGCGCATTGAGGAACCCGGCCTTGGGGCAGCAGAGAGTAAATCCGACCCTGGTGCTATGTGTGTTTGTTTTTTCTTATTTCAAAGTGTAAAGCCAAAACGTTTTTTAATTTTTTTGGGTGGGTTTGGTTAGAGTGGTTAGTGGAGTGAAATGAAGGGAACTTTGCCAGATGGGACGGAAAAAGGAACGAAACGGAAACCGGGTTTTATCCATTCCTTACTCTGTCCAAAATGTTAGCTCCATACTTTTCATGTAGTTGTCTTGCTACCCGGAGGAAGGTTCTTGTTTGGTGGAGTTAGGAGAAAGCTTACTTTAGGTTGATAAGAGTGCTCCGAAACAATGATCACAGCCTGTAATACAGCCGGTCACCACTGGAGGGGGACTCGCTCAGTTATCTGGCTTGATACACTCACATAGGTTCAACCCTTACATACAATCTGGTGCACTCTAAAGGGTGTGCAGTGAGTACTACACACTTAGGTGATTCAGTAAGCTATCCTGCGAGCTAGAATGCTTGTGTGATTACTTTCCTACTGTCCGCATGCACCCCCCCCCCTCACACACACACCACACACCACACACACACACTCCAGACACAAGACTTGGCCCTCATCTGTGGTTTGGCAGCTGACTGGTCCACACAAAGCAATTTCACACAGATTAGCATTGAGCGTACAACCGAGCATACAGACACAGGTAACATAAGGCAACACTCTCTCTCTAGGACAGTGGTGGCGAACCTTGGCACTCCAGCTGTTTTGGAACTACAAGTCCCATGAGGCATTGCAAGGCTCTGACAGCCACAGACATAACTCCCAGAGGCAGATGCATGTTGGGATTTGTAGTTTTGGCACAGCTGGAGTGCCGAGGTTCGCCACCATTGCTCTAGGAGTTCTTAGCTTAGTACACAGAAGCCACTTATTAATTTTCTAATTTAAATATCCCTAAGCCACCAGTGCACAATTCTATTTTTTCTCTCAAATCTGATCAGACATCGTATATTTAAAAGATTGTACTCATGTATATGTGGGAATCGTAAGAAAGCAGCTACAGTGCTACAACCTAGGGGTCTAAATATAACCATTTTGCAGAGCCATTCATCCGACAAATCTCTCTGAGCGTTTGTTCTGTGCGAATAGAGGCACAAATGAGCGTTCATAGATCTATCGTCCTTTCAGATCAAATGTATGTAATGTAATACTGCATAATGGCCACCAGGTGGAGCCGAGGAGCAATAGGAACCAATTTGATTGGTTTCTATGAGCCATCACAGACAGTTCTGACTTATTACCCTAGTACCTGTGGCCAAGTGTCTCATGAGGACCTGTCTCCTTGGCAGTAGGCCGGGCATATGATGTATTAAAGGATTGTCTGTGTGTTTTGTCTCTCTAGGTATGCCGCCAGACACGATTGTGGCTGTAAATATGAGTTGTGTGTGCAGCTGCTCTCCAAGGAGAAGACCATTATCCAAGAGTTTCTTCCGGATCAGATTGTCATGATGCAGTGGAGTGACGCCAAGTGGTCTCAGGTATCCCCGCCCCCTTCTGGGCATTTTAGCCTCTCAGAAACTGATATTTGTATGTGTAAGAAGGGCACATTGGGAGTTCCCAACCTGCTGTTTATATCCGACTATTACATTAGAGTAAGAAGATTGTGGGTGAGGAGCACAATGCAAGCGGAGAAGCTCTCGCAAACTCCATCCAGTGAAGAACAATTATCACTTTTAGTGTATGACATAAGACTCGGGAATTTGAGGCTCCACCTTCTCCATGGCTTTGGTAGGGTTAGATCTGTATGTCATGGCGGTATATGATAAGTGTACTGGAATCTGCTGTGCCTGCAGTGGGCTTACATATGATCTATACCCTGTATATATCCTATGGCTATTGTTATACCACGGAGTATTAGGGGCCTATCAATAATAATATCAGTGAACATTCCTTTTAGGGTGAATAATGCCAATAACAAATGTTCTTAAAGGAGAACTATGAGGCGAGTGCTTTTCACTCACCTCATAGTTCTAGCCGACCTGTGACAATGAGACTGTCACAGGTCGGCTCAGTAGATCGGGAGGTGAGCGAACACATACCGGCGTTCGCTCACCTCTCGATCCTGTCACCGCTCTCTGCTGTGACAGGGAAGGGGCTGGATTCCCCCCGCTCCGATCCTCCAGCGCTGACTGGCGGAACGGACGGGGAGGGGGCGGGTACAGCTGGCTCTGCCACTAGATAGGCAGAGCCAGCTGTCAGTCACGCAGCTGGGTGGATCCCGGCACAATTGCAGCGAGCTGCTCGCGGTATACTGCGGCGTCTCAGTATACAGCTCGCTGTATACTAAGCATAGAGTGACGGGAGGACGCTAGTTTGTGTCCTCCCGTTACCCTAAGGAGAACTATGGGGAAAAGACTTAACCCCATAGTTCTCCTTTTAAAATATTTTTCCCAGTTCGGATGTGGTGTTGTAATAATACATTATGGCCACTAGATGGAGTTTCTCAGTTCAAATATATTTCTTAGGTCACTTGTACCCCCAATCAATGTCTAACATGTGAGAGCTGGGAAGGACGCACAAACCTAAAATCATCATCTCTTTTGGTTCAGACGCTCTTATTAATCATCCCTAAGCTCTTCATGGGCCCCTTTGGGTAAAGCCAATTATATTTTGTAGCAGGAACTGTACTTCAGTTTTGTAAACTTTTTATTTTTACACTTGTAGATTGAACACCGATTTAAAAACTATGGCCCGGGAGTCCGATACATCTACTTCCGGCATGGGGGACAGGACACCCAGTTCTGGAGCGGCTGGTACGGTATTCGAGTGACCAACAGCAGCATCACCGTTGACCCAGGAGACCTCAGCATGTAGCACAAGGGCAACGTGGACATCATTCTATATGCTTGTATAAAGGACACCGCTCCAAGCAAGAACATGCACCAACCACCTGTGGCTGCACATGCTCTCCAGGATCCGCCTTCTCCCCTCCAGACATAAGCCTCGCTCTGCAGCATTGTTTGCTGAACAACAAAAAGCTTCACTGATGCCAGTTTGGGTCAGTCAGACATTTTCTACCCCCGTCAGACATGAGTCGTCCTTCTGATGCATTTCACCCAATGGGCTTAGTAGGAGGTGATTAAGCCCATTGGGTAGAATGCGTCAGCGGGACAGAGTCATGACTGATAGTGGAGAGAATGTCTGTCATCAATAAAGCTTGTTGAAGTTGAGCAAAAAATCAAAGACAGCGGTGTGCAGCCCGATTATATCTGCTATGTTGTGTGACAACCCTATACCTATAATATTACATCACTATGTGCTGTATAATAACTACGTAATGTGTCTCGTAAGGGTAAAAGTGCACAATGGTTTGGCAACTCATCAATTTTCTGAACCTTGGCGCTACAGATGTCTCACCCAAAAAAAAAGGACCTGGACAGTTTTCTGCTGTGTAGTCCCGCACAGCGCCGACCTGCTCAAGCACCGTGTTTGCCATATGTTATATCATTACAATTCTGTGTCGCCTCTGTGACCCGAACAACGTGATTATTCTTAATCTGATGTCATTGTGGTGATTTGTCTGCTCTGCCACCCCTGAGCCCACATCTCATTGGTGACCAGCAATGAACATGCAAAGCACATTAGCACATTTTTCTTTGTAGGACCCCGAGATTACTTTATGAACCCGGTGTTTTCACAATTTTGGATTCCCATGAACAGTTCATTGCAGAGTTTTCAGAGGTTTAAGGAAGATGGTCAGTCACGATTCATCAGTTGTGTGAATCACTGGAGCCGGGATAATTCTGGAAGTATATGGGCAGGTATCTCATAATAACCACTGGTGTAGAGAATTCATTGTCTCGTCGCCATTCAAAGCTTTATTAAATACAATATTGTAGAGATGGGCAGGGGAAGCTTGTGCGAGGTCAGTTGTGCCCATAGGTATATGTTGAGTAATAAGTTGGTCATAGAGGGGTTGGTTTCCCATAGGTTATACACCTCAACATTTAAGTACATAAGCGGGTCATATAGGGGGTTGGTCTCTCATAAGTTACACCTTTTAGGTACATGAGTCGGTCATATGGGGGTTAGTCTCCCATAGGTTACACCTCAACATTTAGGCACATAAGCCAGTCATATAGGGGGTTGGTCTCTCATAAGTTACACCTTTTAGGTACATAAGTTGGTCATATAGGGGGTTGGTCTCCCATAGGTTACACCTCAACATTTAAGTAAATAGGTTGGTCATATAGGGGTTGGTTTCCCATACCTCCAATATACCAACATTTAAGTACATAAGCCGGTCATATAGGGGGTTGGTCTCTCATAAGTTACACCTTTTAGGTACATAAGTTGGTCATATAGGGGGTTGGTTTCCCATAGGTTACACCTTAAACCTTAACATTTAAGTACATAGGTCGGTCATATGGGGGTTGGTCTCTCATAAGTTACTTTAAAGGTATTAAAAGTTGGCCACTGTTGTAATGGCAGCCAACTCGTGTTCCCCTGTTGTTAATTCTGCTGAAAGCTATTTTATCCGTCTGTCTTGCCGGAACAGAATATTATATTTTCAAAGCCTAAGCTTTATAGTAACCACTGGATAAAAATGTTTAAAATAATAAAGAAATTCTGCAAAAAATAATTTTATTAAACTTTAAAGAAGATAAATATTGGTTATTGCAACTGCTAGACAACCTGGTCTTTGGGTATTTCTAATGCTTACCGCACATGTATATTTCATAGTGGCAATGTCACAACAGCATTTTTTTTTTCTTCAAGTCCAAATACAAGTACTTTCCCTCCCAGATAGCAAGCAATTGAGCTGTAAGTTTGAAAATGACTTGCTAAACTATTGCTAGAGTTGCCAAGCTTCACAATTGTGTTGCACAATTACAGCAAGTCTGCATTGCAAGTCTCCAGATCAACGTGCTTTGCAGAAGTCCTGTACCCTTGCAATTACCGATTCGTTTTCTTAAAGGGGCATGTTTGAAGGCTGGCCGAAGGCTAGCCTGGATTTGTGGGAGGAGCCTGTGCCTTTAAAGACGGCACGGCTCACAGGGGATTCACGTCGGCGGGTTAGGCTCTGGTCACAAGTGACATTTTTCTAAAACAATACAGACAAATTATTTTAGGACAGTTTCTCACCATGGCTGCGTTTGGGTCTCTGAGGGCAGGTGCCGGGCTTTGCAGGTGGCTGTCTGGCTAAACGGTTGTGTGTCCGGCTGAACGGGTAGGTGTCGGGCTTGTGCCAGTTCTGGGGCTGTACAGGTGGGTATGGGGCTGTCGGGCTAAAAGGGTGTGTGCTCGGCTGAACGGGTAGGTGTTGGACTTGTGCCGGCTCTGGGGCTGTCCTGTGCCGGCACTGGGAAGTAGGAGGAGGCAATGTACAACTAGACCGGCACTGTCAAAGACAGCTGCCTGAAGTCCCCAGTAGACTGCCGGAGGTCCCCATCAAGTGCTGGACCTCCAGCAGCCGAATCTATTCAAAAACTTAAAGGGCCAGTATCGGCTCTATGTATCAGGGTACTTGTAAAAATGCCCTGTATCGGCACCGATACCAGTATCGGTATTGGGACATCCCTATTTTATAGTTTAGTTTACCACAGAAAGTATCTTTGACAACTTTTTTGTCTTCTCTTCCTTTGTGCTTCCGGAACCTTTTTGCAGTAACAAAGGACTACAACTGGTATGAATTTTTACACCAGAATTCAAGAACAAGGCAGAGAAAAACCCACCGTCCTCTGCCCCAATGGTTACTGCACTTTGCACTGAACGCTGTCCCTTAAGGCCTGTGTACACAAGCTTTACCTTGCAGTAGAACAAGAGATGAACAAACTTCTGAAAAGTTTGAGCAAAATGTACAAACATCTAAAATTCGTCATTTCCAAACCGAAAGTCCCAGCGAAGTCCATGGGAAGTGGAACCAGACTCCGAAGAATGTTTGTTTGTATTAGAGAGCAGCAGATGAAGCCAAGTTGTGTAAATTATATTTGCAAGTTCCTGGAAGCCCAGCCTGATGTGGACAAAGATAGAAGGGTGGGGCCTGCTGGCACAGGCAGCCAAGTTTAAGGGTGCCCAGGCAACAGCAAAAGGAGACATAAGACAGAGATAGACGTGGACAAAGCCTTTGGTCTTTTTCTCCCCGAAGCCTTTTGGGAATGTAAACTGCAAAAAACTGAAATATATATTTGGCTCGGGACATACAAACTCATGAAGTTCTGTGGAAATCTAATGTCATCTGAAATTTGAGGTGAGCTAGATTAACCCAATTTTGTCACTCCTCAAGTCAAGGGCAATGCATAAGCTTCTCAGAAACAGGACTTGTAGGGTGATAAGAGGAACCCCTGGGCATCAAGGACGAATGTATACAATTCAAGTACAAAGAACCCCCCCCCTTCCTTGTGTAGCGATTGATCTGATGAGTCTGTCACGTATGATCTTTTCCAATGAAATGTATGAATGGGCAAACCGTTCCAGCAAGGTGTGCCAGTGTTGGAACAGACAGAGTGAACTAGATTACTCAATAAAACAGAGTGATAAAGTGTGTAGGATTTTTTTATGGTTGCCATTCTACGGCTATTATCGTTATCTAGATACGTGCGAGTTCCCCCATCACCAGGGTTTCTGGATAATTCTATTCTTGCAACGTGTTTTGTTTTTCTCCTGTACTAGGGTCTCTGACCTAGTAGGGTTAGAAGTGATGCTATAGGTAAAGGATTACCTACAATCCCCCTTACTGCTAGCAATTGGCTTGATAGCCCCTAATGTGTAGCAACAGCCTAAGGTCTTGTGTCAATGTGCTTTTGTTCACATCAAGCAGGTTTTGTTTGCCAATACAAATCTATAGGAATACAAAATCCATTTGAAGCAGATCAGAAGGAGGTCAACTGCAGGTCCACTGGAGCTATCAATGAATACTGAATGGTCTCAGAAGCATCTTGTAGCAGGGTGCTGTGAGGCAGCTGTAGCTACAACCGGTTGGCAGTAACTCCGCTCTGATGCAGGACAGCCCAGTCAGTGATGTGGTCATTGTTAAATCACCTATTTGTTTCCTGGTTATCTGTCAGAAGATGAACACAGTGATCATTACTTATCTCTGATGCCTAGGAAGTCTACCAGATGATTGCATTGCCCTCCATACAGGGCTTTCAGCGGTGATCTTCAGGGAGCCTACATCTGGACACAGAGTTTATCAGAGATTTGAGCAACCAATTTGGATCCAGAGGGGTTATATATACGCGTGGCCATGTGAGGGTCTGTAGCATGGGGAGTTGAAGACAGGGACAGTCCACATGCTGGTGAGGGAAAAGTTAAGCTAAACCTCAAAAGAGGTTCCAGAGGAGGAGAAACAGTATAAGATCACTCTTGCAACCCCTGGAGACTTTGTCAAGTTGGAGAAAGATCTGGTTCCAGCGTACACCTGGTTAGTGTATCTCTGTGTATACCCGCTAGCACAACCACTAGAACTCTATGCAGAGAACTTGTCTAATACACTCCTCAAGCCCTCCACCACCTGTAAGTCGGCCTGTTCTAGTTGCCTTGTTCCTGGACTGACAAAGGGCCCTATTATAACAGATGTCTATGTGAAATAGTCACTGCATCTGAGCCCTTTAAATAATGCCTCCCACCTAGCCCTGCCGACAATCTCTAACACATGCCATCAACACAAGCCCGTCGACAAAGCCCCTAAAAACTCTTAACGCGACTCCAGTGGGGTTATGGGTGAAGGGGCGTTTATGAGGTACAACAAATGCTCAGCCTGTAAAATAATGAGGGATGATGAGACGTTTAGGTCTACAAGCACAGAAAGAACAACTTTAAGATGAATGTATGGATAATGTGTTATCTATGGCATGTCATGCCCTTTTGAAAAACAATATACTGGTCATTCAAAAAAGGCACTAGAGGTGAGAATCGGAGAA